CTTACTATGTAGTTTAGGCTGGTCTTGAACTCACCAGGTAGCCCAGGCTAGCTTTAACTCATGGGGATCCTCCTGCCTCAAATTCCTGAGCACTGGTATTATAGGCATGTACTACCACACCTGGCTATTTTTATACATTATATGTTAAAAAACTTTGATTTCCAGTACTCACTGGTGATATACAGAAACATAGTTGATTTTTTAAAGTATTGATTTGTATATTTGACTTTACTGAATTCATTTATTTGTTCCCAGACCTTTTTTTGTACAATACCTGAGACTGTAAAATGTAGAATAAAGACAACAGTGTTGTTTGTGAAGGGGTCGGGGATGTAGCTCAGAGACACAGCACCTGCCTGGCAAGCAAAAGGCCTTGGGTTGGATTCCTGGTACCAAACAAATAGTGTCTGTGAATAAAGATAGTTTTATCTCTTCCTTTCCAGTTGATGTGCTTTTTATATCTTTTTCTTGCCTTCTTACACTGGCTAAAACCTTCAGTATGATGTTGCACAGGAATGGTCAGATTAGGCATCTTTCCCTTTCTTGGGACCTAGGAAGATGGGAGTGGTCCTATCTAAAATGTTTTGTCTGTGCTGGGTGTGGTGGGTGTGGTGGCGAAAGCTTGTAATCCCAGCACTTGGGGAGGGCAAGGCAGGAGGATTGCTGTGAGTTTGAGGGCTGGTGAACTGCATAGTGAAACCCTGTCTTAAAAAGACCAATAAAATTTTTTTGGCTGGCAGCTGACATAGTTTGACAGTTAAAGAATAATTCAGGTTCTTGCCTATTTTGTACAAAATACATACAAATGAGTAATTAGAGATATAAGATAAATATTAACTTTAAACACTTTACTTGTATAATATGAATTAGATGATCAGATATAGGTGACCAGAAAGACTGACCTATTGTAGCATTTCAGATGGGAGTTAACTGGGGCATAAACTAAGGAGATGACCATAGAAATGTAAAAGAAGTGTCAGAAGAAGAGGTCTTTGAAGGTAAAATTGACAGATTTATTCATCTTGAATGGGGAAGAGTAAGAAGGATAGGAGAGACTACTGAAGGTTTGCACCTAGGAGATTGGAGATGACATCAATAAAAAGAAGCATTAGTAGAAGAACTCTAAGGGCAAAAAGATGACTTCCTCTTGAACATGTTGAACTTACTATAAAAGTGGGACAATAGCGTTGGTCATTTGGCTTTAGAGGTCATGGGGTTTCCGATTTATCAGTACAGAAGTGATGGTTCAGATTATGAGAGGGAAAGCAATGTGAACACCAAGGGAAGGATTGTAGAAGACAACTGATTTATACTTTAGGGAATGCCCACTCCTAGACCCAACTGAGGATTAGAAGACCTATTCCTCATAGTTTCCAACATTCTAGTATTGTGAGATAACCAAAATAAAACTTACCTTTCTACTTTTAGACATTGAAGTTCACTTCTTCAATAAATTCTTCATATGTCTTTGTTTTTAAGCTTGCTAATACTTTCATTTTATTCATTATATCTCAACCACTCTGTGAAATAGGTACTAAGCCTGCTTTACAGATCCAAAGAACAAAGTTCAGGACACTGTCCTAGGTAATTTGGGATTATACAAAGGAGTAAAAATGTAGAAAGTGAACACTTGTCTTCTATCTGCAGTTTAGCCGTAGTCATCTTTGTATTATATTACTCTGTACCATCCTTACACCAACTTGACATTATACTGTGTTTCCAACTTTGTCTCTTTTTGGAGACTGGGTCTTGCTGTGTTGCCTAAGATGGTCTTGAACTCCTGGGATCCTCCTCCTCCTCTATAGCAGCTGGAATTATAGGCATGCACCACCATACCAGGCTCTGAGCTCCCCTTTTCATGGAAATAGTGTTCAAGCTGTATTCCATTTCATTTTATCCTCGTATCTGTATTTTTTTCTATCTTTGTTTTTCTTTTTCCCTCCCTGCCTAAGTTTGAGATTGCCAATATTATCTAGCATAGTTATTACTTACCAATTTAATGATCTTAGCATCTTTTTCTTCTTTTTTGTCTTTTTGAGACAGAGTCTTGCTATGCAGTTCAGGCTGGCCTTGAGCTCACGTTGTATCCTAGGCTGGTCTCAAACTCACAAAGTTCCTCCTGCCTCAGCCTCCTGAGTGCTGGAATTAAGGCATGTGCCACCATGCCCGGCTTGCTTTCTAAATAATGCATAATTTTTGAGTAATTTAAAATGTTTCAGAGATATAAATTCCCTTTTAACTTAAAATCAATTTAGATCTTATAAAGAATTGCAAGAAATATAAAGTACAATGTATTCCCATATATTCTTTAGCAAGATACCCTTATTATAATCATTTTACTATATTTATTTTACCATATGTATTTTTACATACTTGTACTTTGGAGTATTTCAGGGTAAGTTGCAGGCATTCTTTGAGTCAGGGTCTTGCAGTATTCTAGGCTGGCCTATGTAGCCCAAGCTAGCCTCCTCCTGATTAGTCTTCCATGTGTTGGGATTACAGGCTCAACATTATCATCTTTTATCTTAAGTTAATTTTGTATTGCCTGAAAGTTTTTTTTTTTTATTTTAAAACAAGTTGTTAGGGCCGGGGATATAGCTCAACAGCACAAGCACCTTCCTGGCAAGCGCAAGGTCCTGAGTTTGATTCCTGGTACCAAAAAATAAAAATAAAAACAAGTTATTGACATAGAGCTGTAATTTACTTTCTCATATACCTTCAGTAAGTGAGATTGGAGAGTTGTTATGCTATTTGGTGCTGGAGCTAGATCTAAACTTTTTTTCCTTCTTGCGGCCCTGGGAATTAAAAGACCTTGTACAAGTTAGGCAAGTGCTCTACTGCTGAGAATGTCTCTAGCCCTTTTTATTTTATTTTTGAGACAGAGTTTTCTAAATTTTCCAGGTTGGCCTTGAACTTGGCAATCCTTCTTCCACAGCCTCCCTAGTAGCTGGGATTATAAACATTTAATTTTAAGTGAAAGGTTTTTGTCATCAGTATTTTCCTGGACCATTTTCACTACCCTTTTTTTTTTTTTTTTTTTTGGTACCACGAATTGAACTGAGGACCTTACACTAGCTAGGCAGGTGCCTTGCTGCTGAGCTATACCCTGGCCCTTCACTGCCTCTCTTGCTTATGATCTTTTTGGCTGTCTCCTCTTATTTGTTTTTTGTACTGGGAATCAAACTCGGGACCTTGCGAATGTCAGGCAGGTGCTGTGCTGCTGAGCTATACCCCAGACCCTCTCCTCTCTGACAAACCTAGAGCAAGAGTGAGAACTTACCGTCTTACCCTATATAATGACTGCTTCATTCAGAGCCTCTGAATCCCTTTTCTGCTGCTGTTTTTTCCTTTGCTCCTTGAACTTGGATGTGTTGTTATAGAGCAGGCTGAGTTTCAGCAAGCTCCTAATGTGGATACTGGAAACCCTACCTGCCTGCCAAGTCCTTTTGGCTGTGAGCAAATTGGAGCCTTGTTACTTGTCATTCCTTTGTAGCAGTTGACCTAAAGGAATGCTGCGCAGCCTGTTGGAAGTTGCTTAGTAGCCTCGAGTGGGTGTGTTTGAGGGTGTGTGTAGAGAGGTGAGGGTCTGTAGTCTACGTGGGAATATGTGGGGTTCATTCCTCGTGTCATGTTAATCATCAGACAATGTTTACTGACTGCCTCCTTATGAGTAGTACTGTGATAGGAACTCTTGGAATACTGTAATAAAATACATAAGTAAATGACAGTGTAATAGCCAAACAATTCTAGCTCTGCCACTTTGCTTTGAATTGGGCAAGTTAATGTCTTGAAGCCTCACTGTATTCTTGTGCAAAGTTGAACTATTATTATCTACCTGATAGGGCTATTATGAAGATTAAATAGAGTGTAAGTATTTAGCACATACCTAACATTACTTATTATTTCATTTCATAGTCATTTCAGGGTATATGACTGATACCTTACAAAATAAATGGAAAGCAATAAAAACATAGTGAATAATATGACAGTACAGTGTATAATCAAATACTTTAATTGTGACATATAGTTTATGAAGATTATAATAGTCTGGGAATTGAGAGAAGAGAAAGAACAGTCTTGTGGAACCATTTAGTATTCCTATGCCTCAATTTTTCCACTGACTGGAACTCTCCCAGAGCATGATTAAGATGTCAAAACAATTTTTTTAAGTGGTGCATGTGGTGGGAAGGGAGAAGTGTTAACTGTTAGATATTTAACACCTCACATTCCTTAATTTTTCCTTAAGTGGATATGGCAGTTTACCGGAAATCTTAAAAATCATGTAATCTTAGAGATGAGATGATTTCCTCTCAGAGAAAGTGGTTACTTTGGTGCTATTCAAATTGGTCAGTGGATGGCCTCTGATTTTAGCCCCTCAAATATAATCTGAGGGTTAAATGATTTGTAACCCAAATTATGTGATCCTCTGGTAAAAAACAAACAAGCCAAGAGAAATATAGTCCTCTTGGACTGAGTTTTAAGGATATGTGCTTTACTCACTACAAGTGTTTCTGTTGGATGGGATATCTTTGCTCAGAATAGTTAAGACTGCTAACTTATCCCTTCCACCTATAAGCAGATCTTTCATGACCATACACATGGATAACACCTTTAAAAAATGCTTTACTCACAACATCCAAAATAAATGGTGTTTGGTTACTTGGTGATTTCTTTCTTATTTTGTTTTGCTTTTTGTTAGTCTGATTCTGGGGAAAACTTGTATTTGGCTTTTATTTATATTTCCACATCAACTTCAAGAAAATTATCAGAGAAGTTTCCCATGAAAGTAAAGCTGCTCACACCTTTTTTTAAAAAATAAATTTGAGTGTTTCTCGTTTTTGTTGTTGTTAGGATTTTTCTTTTCTTTTTTGGCATTGTATGCCAAGGTCTCAAGTTTATAGTGAGAGGTGAAGCAACGTTGATCTTGGCAGAACAGTGCAAAGCCAGTAGAGTCATTAAGTGACGCAAGCTTTTGATTTTTTTTTTCCTTTCTGTTAAAGCTCTCCGGCACAGCTGGCTATTCTGGTTCCAGAAGAAAAGAGAAGAGACGTTCCGAAGGTCTGACTGAGGCAATAGAAGAATTTGGGGGCATACAAAAAAGAGGCAGGAAAGACCATCAACAGCAGTAACAGCAGCAGCAGCAACAACAGTAACCCTGGATAATCCAAGCAAGCTTCTTGGCTTTGTGGGATCTCTGTCAGCTATTCAGAACTTGAGCTTTTGCTACAGAGGATGATGGGACAAGGTAATAGAGGGCGAGGAGGGTTATGCTGGATTCTTACTTATCTGTCAACCTCTCCTAGTTGGAAAAATCTTCATTTCACAGGAAGCATTATAAACAAGACTGAAGAACATGTTTTACCTTGATCGTGGATGCTATTGGAGTTGAGGATTACAACCATTTCACCAGGACTTTTGGAGACAGTTTTTCAAAAAACAGAAGGAAGCTATACTTGAGCCCTTCTCTGTGCTAGTCTTATGCCATGCCACCTTTTCAACTCTGGAGAAAGTGAGGGACAGTGCTGGATCTAAGAGGGTGTCTGACTCCCCTGTGCTAATTGTATGATGTTTGGAAGGTTGTAAACTCAAAATCTTTCAAGATAAACTCACTAAGTTCTGGATTCTCTTTCGTTTGAGGACTTTAGCAGATGAATAGTCCCAGCCAAAAAGATACAAAGCCTTCTCTGTGTTTTCAGGCTAAATGTGAACAATAATGTCTTGGAAAAGAAATTATTTTTCAGGGGGCCGTGGTACTGTTCAAGGGATGTTTGCTCCTCGAAGCTCAACCTCCATAGCCCCAAGCAAAGGCCTCAGCAATGAGCCAGGGCAAAACAGCTGCTTCCTCAACAGTGCACTACAGGTAAGGGGAATTCGACTTTTAGTTGCTGGACTGTATTTTGATAATTCCTTTAAATATAGTACTTGACAGATTATGTTTGAGGTCAGTAGCCTGAGCTAGCTAGCTATTTATTTATTTATTATGAGCTCATCTTTTTTTTGAGCTCATATCAGTGAGCTCTTTTATCAGTGTGATCTTAGGTAAATCTGTTAATCACTTAGGCAAGTCACTTAATTGAGATTTTTGAATCTCAATTAACTTCTTTGTAAAATTAAGTGATAATCATGTTAGAAATAATAACAGTGCTATTATTTACCTGCCTAAAGGAGAACATGGACCGGGTGATCTTTCTACTTGTTTACCAATTTTTTACCTGAACAACCTGTACTGTCTCCTTTTTTCATTTGAGACAAAATAGCTTATCACCCTAGTTGCTTTTCTGTAGTTTAGAAAGCAAAATCTCTTAGAATTGTAGGTATGCTGTTTTTGTCTCATAATATTCCTGGTCTTAGTTACATACTGAATGGCATCCGGTCTTTGATCACTCTTTCATCTCCTCCATCTAAGCTCTCCAATATTGGGTCTTGATTGGTGTCTGGTTAGATATGCTTGAAAAAAGCTGGTGGAAATTCCCCTAAGGTGATTATCTGCCCTAGATTTTCTTTTTTGCTGCTGCATGCAGCTTACAGTGGTCTCAGAACCTCAAAGCTTTCATCTGACTATTCTGCCTCATACTCAGGCCCAGTGTGTTACGTTCATTTCCCATGGCCTAACATTCAAATAACTACTTTCTCTTTTTTTGCTTTTCAGAGCAAAAGTAAGTAAGATTTGCTAGCAAGATAATTATACTTAAGTAAAATATTAGCTTGACTCCTCAGATATAATGAAAAAACAGTTTGCTATGTGAGAAGACAGGACAGTATATTTGGTATAAATAATGGACTGGGGAATTAGGAGACCTGAATTCTGGGTTTAGCCCTTTTTATAGGTTGACCTTGTACAGGTAATAGTGCCTAAGATTCCCCTTTTATAATACAAGAGTCCTGCCTAGCTTACCTATGTAATAAAAGTTTTATAGTCTCTTAGTTTTCAACTTTTTATTTGAAAGCATTAAAAAAGATCCTGTGCTGTCAAACATGCAGAAAGAGTTTAAATATTTTCTCTAATTACTATCACAAATTTCATGCAGTTAGATAAGGTTGGTTAGATTTTTTTTTTCTCCCAGATGATATATAAAAGTTTTTGTTTGTTTGTGTTTGTTTTAAGACAGCGTCTTGCTACGTAGTTCAGGCTGCTGGCCTTGAATTCATTATGTAGCCCAAGCTAACCTCAAACTCTCAGTGATCTAACTGCCTCAGCTTCCTAGGTCCTGGGATTACAGGCATGCTCCATCCCTCCCAGCCACATAAAGATTTTTTTGTTTTGAGACAGGGTGTCATTGTGTAGTTCAGGCTGGCTTTGAACTCACTGTGTGGCCCAGGTTGGCCATAAACTCAAGGAAATCCTCGTGCTTCAACCTCTTGAACACTAGAATTACAGGTATGCTGTACTACCCCCAGCTTGTGAGATGATTTTCTAACTTTTGAAATGACAGCTATATTTGCCACAGATGTGTTGAACCTATTATATTTGTTATTTACTTGGGAGCATAGTGTGTTTCAAAGAACTTTTAAAATCTGTATCTTGAGACATATACAAGTAAAAAGAGAAGCTTCTGAGGTGTGCCATCATCTCTGGGGTCTAGAGGTTGTGCTTCTTTATGTATTATGCCATTAAATGTTTTCCTAGCAGGGAGAAATTCCTGAAGGATTATGATGTATATTATATCATTTCTTTTTAAACTAAAGTTTGTAGTATATTTAGATATCCTTAATTGTTTTTATTTTCTCCTTCCTTCCTGCCTGCCTTCCTTCCTTCCTAACCTGGTGTTGCCAAGTTGCCCAGCCTGGCTTTGAATTTATGATCTTCCTGCCTCAGCCTTTTTTTTTTTTTTGGTACCAGAAATTGAACTCAGGATCTTGCGCTTGCCAGGCAGTCACTTGTACCACTGAGCCCCCTCAGGCTCTTAAGTAGCTGGGATTAAAGGCATGCCAGGCAGATTTCTTTACTTTTCATATGGATTGATAGATTGATTGATTGTTTGATTGGTTGAGACAAGGTCTTTCTATGTAGTCAGGGTGGCTTTAGCTCACTTTGTAGCCCATGCTGACCTCCAACACCCAGTAGTCCTCCTGCCTCATCCTCCTGAGTGCTGGGATTACAGGCATATGCCACCATGCCTGGATGATTTCCTTAGTTTTTAATCTAGTGTTTTTCTGTTTTAGGATTCTTCCCACATTACCACATTTACATTTACTTTTCATATCTCCTTAGACTCCTTTTATCTATGACAGTTTCTGAGAATTTTCTTGTTTTTGATGATGTTGACAGTTTTGAATAGTAGGGCTTATTTTGCAGATTGCCTTTGTATTGAAATTTGACTGATGGTGTTTTCATGATGACGCTAGGGTTATGGATTATGAGGAGGAAAGCCACAAAAGTTGAGTGACATTCTTATCATAATGCATGAAAGGCCTGTGCTATGAAAATGATCATCACTTTTGATATTACTGTTATTTTTTATCATACTAACTTGAGTTAGTCATACCTCTCCCAGAGTTAAAAAATTCTAGTTCTAGAGCCAGGCATGGTGATGCTTGCCTATAATCTCAGTGCTAGAGAGACTGAGGCAGAAGGATCACTGTGAGCTTGAGGCCAGCCTGGGCTATATAATTATAGTAGAAAATGTTATCCCATCACCCCCCAGTATACTTCAATTTGTTAGTTGCCCAGGTAATAGTTCCTGTTGCAGATCCGATTGCTCCTGTCTCTTAGAAAAAGCTGGTCACTCTGATGCATAGCTGGTCACTATGATGTACATTGCATAAACCAGTCCCAATTGACAAGCTGTTCTGAGCGTCTGTACTTCCTCTTGATTATCCCATATAAGCCCTAGAGCACCAGAGATCAGGTCCTGATATTCTGGGAGTGATCACAATCAGTGCGCATCGACATAAATAAATCTGTCTCCACATCTGGGTGTCATTTCGGTGTTTGTGCTTGCTGTGGCATCTGGTGTGTTGGCTGGGAAGACCAGCTGTACTGATCTCTTTGGTGACTAGTTGTGGCCCTTGAGGATGAAGCAAGGGTCTCTCCAGGTCCCGAAGGGAAGCCATACCCTTGCAATTTCTTGAGTGCCCTCAGAGATCTGGCGGAGGATTCCTGACTCCTCAATCGAGTGGCTCACATTGGACCCTAAAGGGAGGAGGACACTATCTGTCTGTCTATCTATCTTGTTTGTCTGCCTGTCTGCCTGCCTGCCTGATCCTTGAAGACCCCTGGGGGCAGCCCAGTTAGTTAGTCTGTCAGTCCTGCTCAGTTCAAGCAGAAGAAGAGCTTGATCAACTTTTATTAGTTAAGGCCACCCTCAAGGGAAGCAGGTTGGAATGTTTAACCTGAGTGCCTGCTGAATGAATGTGAGTGAGTGGAATGGGTGGCGTAAGCAGTAGGCTGCTCTGTCTGTGCACCAAGACGAGGAAGTACTGGTTGTGGTGGCTGACTGGGCCCTCACCTGTGGTTCCGTGGCAGTCGACGCATGGCATAACAAAGGCCTAGCAACCTCCTTAGCTAAGTCGCGCCTCAGTCCCCACAAGGGGTGCAGCTAGGCAGGCATCTGAATGGTTTCTCTCCGAGGGGCACCTTCCCTTTTTGTGGTATGCCATTGTTTAAGAGTAGTATTACCTGGGTATAACATACACTGTAGGGAGACGTAATGGGAACTAGGGGGACTGTGAAAAAGGGGCTTTTATGGAGTTAAAAATGAAACCAAACTGCTCCCTGCATCTCAAAGAAAAAAAAAAAAAAGAAAAAAGAGGCCCCTTCTTCCCGAGAATTCTGCCTTGGTGCTCTTGTTGACCACCACAGCTTCTGCCAACACCTATAGCTTCACTCCCCACTTCTGACTCATCTACTTCCAGCCAATTGAACTGGTTCCAGCTGGCCATTGCCTGCATTTGGCCACAGAGCCCTGCCCCCCAGACACACCTATCCTGGTCAGGTTGCATCACCTAACAGCCACCTGACATGCCTGCCAGCAGTTCCTTCTGAGTTCTACATTTTGACTGAGGAAAAATTGGACTGTCAGCCCCGACAAATGAGTTGCCATGGCCTTTCCAAAAGTTGCCTTGCCTAGAAACAACCCAGTTGAGTGTTTCTCAAAGACATCAAAAAGGGGTACAAAAAGCCCATCAACTACTGTTGCCCCGAAACCTGATTAAAAAGCACCTGATGTCTATAAGAAAATCCAGTCTGAAAGGTGACCATACCCTCTGGCTATGCATCATAAGGACTATGGACACTAAAAAAATAAAAAGATGAGAACTCTTTCACTTGGTTCTACGCCTGTGTCCTACACCACCATTACCAGTCCATTGCCAGTTCTGCACTACAGCCTCTTGCTCTCCCAGATCAGTTGACTTGGACTCAGTTGCCATAAGGGGGTTAAGAACTCTCCCACCTTGGCTCTGAGCACCTGTGTCCTGCATGATGGGAAAGCCATCCTAGTCATCAGAACAAACTCATAAGGCCATCTGAGAGGCTCCCAGATTCAGCCCAAGCCAGAAAAGCTTTATCCTGTTCTGTCTGACGACCCTGAGTCTGACCTGCCTTCTCATATTCATCAACCCCATGCTGCTCAGCCAGCTGTGTGACAACACCATCACCCGTTCTGTTTCCTGTACCACCTTTTATTACCTCCTGCACCACAACCTCCTGCTCTCCCAGATCAATTCACTTGGACTCAATTGCCATAAGGGGTTAAGAATTCTCCCACCTTGGCTCTGCACCTGCATACCCACCTGCCAATAGGGGATGACTGTCAGCAACTCCTTCTAACGCTGTTTGATACTAAAGAATGCCACTACATTTTTTCACAGGGGTCAAACCTGGTAAAAGTCAAAAGTCCCTGCCATTGTGGTTGATCCTGATGCTTGGGTGAACACAGTCCTCCCTCGAGCATGTCCAAACTGGGACTGTGATGTGGCAGAAGGCCATGAAGCCTTAGATCAGTACCAAATTGCTCTCCTCGCAGGCCTCATAGAGGAAGGCAAGAAGCCAATAAACATGTCTAAAGTTGCTGAAGTTACCCACTGGAGCCCCCACTGAAAAGAAATTCTACTAAAGCAGATCCTGTGAGATTGATGGACACTTTATCAAACATGAATTCCTGTATATGCTTGAATGCCCTATACCTCTCCTGGGATGTGACCAACCTCCCTCACACTTGGGTCCACTGTCCTAGACTTGATATTGACTCTGACTGTATCCCAGGGGGAAGAATAGCACCTACATCAGCCTGAAATGCCTGATAATCATAACCCTGAAATTTTGAGAGACTCATTTCCAGGATGGACAAATGACTCACCCCTGGGGCTTGCTGTCAATCATGCCCCTTTGGTGATCAAGCTCTGTCCCAAGGCAACCCCTACCTGAATCAAACAGTACAGCTCTCCTGCCTGTAAAAACAGTTCAACATCTCCAAACTGCCAATGCCACAACAATTGCCCTCCATATATATTGCCTACACAAAGTTCTGCTGCAATATCTGATAGGAACTGGTTACAAGAAAGAAACACCATAAATTTCTTGGAGCTGCTGGCTTCTCTATGCTTACTCAGACTTTCAGTCGCTGGGAGTGCCCAGTGGCCTCTAAGGGCTGCCTCTCCCTTTGCCTCCATGCCCTAACAGCCACTGTCCTGATCAAGAAAGCTGACAAGCTCACCTTAGGCCAAGACCTAACTGTCCAGGTGCCACATACTATCCCAGGATGAATTGTTCTAAAGAATGGACCTCCTGATAGAAGCTGAGTATACACTGTTTACAGATGAAAGTAGCTCTGTTAGGAATAAGGTCTGACAGGCTAGATATGCTGTGCGCACCTTGGACAAAACTATTTTGGCCAAAACTGTCCTCCTGGGTTGATCGGCACAGCAAACTACTTCCTGTTGCTGCTTGGAAACCTGCCATCAACAACACAAATTAATCCGGTCCAGAGGCCTAACCCCTGTCTGGGGATCCAGCTGACTAAAAAGCCAGTATTCCTGGAAGATGAGAGCCAGACCTGCTCCCACCTTTTGTTCTGCAAGCCCAAGCTGCTGTGCTAGCACCTGTATCCCTGCAGACAGTTTAAGCTTCAGTGTTTTTGTCACTGGCTCTGACCTCCCGTTCCCTACCCATACTGAGAAGAACGTTTTTACAGGGTCCTCCTGTAAAAAATCGTTCCTAGGTATGGCCTACTCTGTACCCTTAATCATTAGCGGTGACAGTAGGCCTACATTTGTAACAAAGGTAACTAAAAACTTGATTAAATAAAAACTACATAGAGCTTATAACCAGTTAAAAGACCAGCTATGTCTGTAGACATTCCTGCACACACATACAACCCAGGTACGTATTAACTACCTCTACAAGTTTCAAAAAGCCAGCTTTAGATCTGCTGAAAAATTTACCTGGATAGCTCCTCTGAGGCTTACTCTGAAGAGACAACATGCACGACTGAAGCCTGAGGACATCGTTCACAGGATTGCTCCATACCTATTTCCCTTGATTTTTCAAGCTGGTTATCCCAGTCCTTGCTTCTCTGCCCCCATGCTAGCTATGGTTTTTGTTAATTGACCTGGATTTTGCTACCCCAGGTCTTGCTTCCCTGCCCCCGCTAGTTGGTTTTGGTTTTTTTCTCCTTAAACTGTGTGGACAATTGTCCCAAGAGAATAGAACAATCAGACAAACACTTAGCCAAGATTTGATGAGTGTCCAAAGCACAATGGACACTTTCCTAGATCAGATTAACTCCCTCACTACCTTGCTGGAGTAATGTTATAGAACAGACAGGCCTAAATTCTAGTTGGGCCTTATCTCAGAAGCACATATGTAATATTCCCAGCAAAGATTTGCTGGGGAAACTAAAAGAGGGGGGAAATATAGCAGAAACCCGCCCCCTCAGCCATTATACTTCAGTTTGTTAGTTGCCCAGATAATAATTCCTGTTCTAAGTCCGATTGTTCCTGTCTCTTAGAAATGGCTGGTCACTCTGATGCACATTGCATAAACCAATCCCCAATTGACAAGCCGTTCTGCTCTGTACTTCCTGCTTGCTTATCCTATATAAGCCCTAGAGCACCAGAGATCAAGTCCTGATATTCTGGGAGTGATCCCAATCAGTGCCTGTAGAAGTAAAGAAATCTGCCTCCAAATCTGGGTGTCATTTCAGTGTTTCAACTTGGTTTTGCATAATGAGTTCAAGGCCAGCCTGGACTATACAGCAAGACCTTGCCTCAAAAAACAAAAAACAAAACCACATCAAGCCAAAAGAATCCTAATTCTAATGAAGATAAAATTCCATGCTATAGTTCAAGGTTTTATTTTATTTTATTTTATTTTATTTTATTTTATTTTATTTTATTTTACCTTTTTTGAGACAGGGTCTCAGTATGTAGTTCAGGCTTCCTTTGCACTCACTTTGTAGCCCAGGCTAGAGTTTCCAACTTGCAAGGATCCTCCTGCCTTAGCCTCTCTAGTGCTGAGATTACAGGCATGCCCCACCACACCCGGCCCAAAGATTTTAATATAAGTTTAAAAGTATTCTTGATTTTCTTATGTATACCATTAAAATAAATAATTATTCTGAAGCTTTTTTCTTTTTCCCTCTTTTTTTCTGTGCCAAGTTGGGGAATCTAAGGATTTATACATGCTAAACATTCTACTACTGAGGGTATACCCTTAGCCATATTCTATAGCTTTTAACCCATAAATTTCTTCTTCATGATCACATTTCTTAAGTGGCCTACCATATTTTTTCTATGAGAACTTCACATCATGTTCAGATTAATGTCTCTGCTAGGTGTGGTGGCACATGCCTATAATCTCAGCACTCACGAGGCTGAGGCAGGAGAATCACAAATTTGTGACATGCCTAGGTTACATTTCAAATTTGAGGTTAGCCTGGGCTACATAATGAGAACTGACTTGAAGAATACAAAAGCAAAAGAAATCAAATTAATGTTTTCCTCAGAATATGCTCATTTATCCCTCACCTTTTTAGACATTTGTTGTAATTTACCAGAATGAGCTTTTTTTATTGGGAATAAAGATTGCCTTCGCAATCATTACCTACGTTTAATTGAATTTAAAATTAAATAATGGTTCTTTGTAAAGCAGTGAATATTTTCCCTTTTTTGTCAGGTTTTGTGGCACTTGGACATCTTCCGCCGTAGCTTTAGGCAGCTCACAACTCACAAGTGCATGGGAGATTCTTGCATCTTTTGTGCTCTCAAGGTAAGTACTTCGGATTTGTTTCTCCCCACTGACGTTGGATTGCCAAATGATCAATATTGCCTGGAGGGGTGGTTAGCTAGGATGAAGCTAAAGAGTTGCTACTGAATTATCTGCCTGTGGCTTAGGGTAAAAGTAAGTGTTAGTTTTGTTTGCTTTGAAGTTTTACCACATGGCCTGGATAGTCTTTTTCTTCTGCACCCTTTTAGATATACAGCTCTATTTGATGTGATAGCATCTATGCAGGTATGCTTCTACTTTGAGAATTTACTTGAACATCTAATTGTAAAGTTTTATGTTAAAAAATAAATTTTTATGTTCTAAGAATAAACATTTTAACTGGCATTAACTGTTGTTTGTTAAAATGAAATCTTAAAATTTTCACATTTCCTAATGTTTCTCATTGCCACATTTAATAGCTTCTTTACATCAGTTCTCTACCTCATGTATTGTCTGATTCCATGCTTTTTATTTCTAAATAAAATGAAACTGGATATTTGTTTAGAGACAAAGAAAATTAAGAGAGGCATCATGGCTTCATAGGTCACTACAGGCCTCAGCCGGGACTAGTGACTCATAGAGGTTCACTTACTGTGAGTTCACTGCCCATTTCCAGACAAGGGGCCTAGCCCTTGGACAGACTCACAATTAAAAATGAAAAACCAGGGTCTGGGGATTTAGCTCAGTGGCACAGCGCCTGCCTGGCAAGCACAAGGTCATGAGTTCGATTCCTGGTACTGGGAAAAAAAAAAAAAAACAAAAAAAAAAAAAAGAAAGAAAAGCCAATTGGTTAATTTAAATCCTGCTCAGAGCCGGTTTGTAGAGGCCTCCATCACTTGGGAACTGAGGCAGCAGAATCACTGTGAGTTCAAGGCCAGCCTAGGCTACATAGTGAGTTCAAGGCCAATCTGAACTATATAAGGAGGCCCTGTCTCCAAAAAACAATGAATTGCCAAAGATATAGCTCAGTGGCACAGCACCTGCCTGGCAAGTGCAGGGTTGTGAGTTGGATTCCCAGCACCAAAAAAAACCCCAATGAACAAACAAACAAAAAAAATTAAAAAAAAAAAAAAAAGAAAATTAAGAGACTTTTGACAAAAAGATTTTAAATATGGTGTGTAGTTTAAGAAACAGAACCACGGTGTATAAAGGGGCACATCTTTTGCCAACATGTACTTTCTGTATATTTTCTTGGTCTAGATATACAACATATTATTTGTGTTTGGGTGAAGTTGTGTCATCCAAATTAGTTCGAGTAGGTTTCTAGGGTAATATTTTAGTCTCCTGTAGCCTGAATTCTTGGCTTGTCATAGGGATGATTAGGTGAAGTCATTATATATTTGATTTAGTTAGCCAGAAAAATATAGAAGAACTTCCCAGTGACTTATAAATATTTTTTTGTCCAATATCACTTTGGAGTTTTAACTCTATTGTAAGACTTTAGAAAGAGTTTAAGTCTCCTGAAGCTTTTGCCACTTGGTCACAAACATCTTTTTTCACCTTTTGTTTGGCCTATTGTAACTTGTAATAAACATAAAAGATAAGTTATTGGTAATTGGGGAGTTTAAAAATGAATTTTAATAAACTAAATCTTTTACAAGTTGATTGCAAATTTGGTGGTCCCTTGGTCAACAAGTGCAAGTGAAATCTGATTTGTGACATTAATGCCATGCTATCGAGATATAGTACTTGGTAGGGAGATGTTAATTCTGGAGAGATCCCAGGCAGAAGAGTCTTCTGAAACTCTCCTCTACTGGGATGGGATAATAGAACCTACATGACCTTGGATGTGCTTTTGACTAGTCCAATTTTGCTACACTATACTTGTCATTGATTCAGGAGGGATTCTGGAGAGCTGTCTGTCATGCTTTAGGTTTCATTTTCCAGAGAGGCAAATTGTTACTTTAGTCCAAATCAGTGTCATACAAGCTGGAGAGAGGAAAAACCATCAAACTCACTGAGATGTCCAAGTACAAAAGGGAAGTTGTTTTTCAAGCTATTTGGACTAAGGAGATGTCTTGAGATTCTTTAGAGAAATAATTGCTTGAAATGGATAGGTGAATGGGCTTAGGGAGTTCAGACTTTATTTTGAGTTTCATAACTCTGGGGATATGGTAGAATTCTGTTGCTTTCCTAGTAACTTTACCGCATAACATAAACAGGAGATTTTATTTTCCTTCTTACATCTTTTGTTATTTTGGGGGATGTATTAGAGATTTGATTCCTGACCCCCAAAGTATTTCTCAATCCTTCAGTCCTATATAAATATAAAATAATTGGGTGATAGTTGGCACACACTTCAAATGGTGTTTTTTATATTCCTTTCATTATTGTACACTGAATTTGAAAATTATAAATACATATGATACAGGTAGATTAACTTGGAAGTATAGATGAGCTAAACTTGGTGCTAGTAGCTGAGTAAATCATTAGAATAACCATAATTTTCCGTAAATATTTTTCATTCAGATGGGAAGGCTTTATTCTTGTGAGAAAAGGAATGACTAAGTTCATGAAGGAATAAACTTGAAAGGAGCTGTTAGTGCCTGAGTTCTACTTGGGATGTCTCTTTGTTTCCTACTTTAAAAATAGTTTGTAATCCCAGTACTTGGTAGGCTGAGGCAGGAGGATCACTGTGAGTTCAAGGCCAGCCTGGACTACACAGTAAGACCCTGTCTCAAAAACAAAACATAAAAAAATTAAAAATATTTTTATAAAATGTGAGGATAATAGATTAGTTACTAAATTAGATTCTTGTCAGTGTAATATACAGAACAAAAAACCCACAGTGTTTATAAAGGAGGAAACAAAATTACTGTATTTTCAGATGAGATGTTTGGCTAATTAAAAAAATCCCAGTGGCAGAAAAGTGGCTCAGAGGCAGAGCACTTCCCTCGCATGCCTGAAGTCCTGGATTTGATCCACAAAAACAAAACCCCAAAACCTTGAAACTAAAACATCCCAAAGAGCTGGGTGTTATAGTGTTTGCCTGCACACCCGGTACTCAGGAGACTGAGGTAGGAGAATTGCTGGAGTCCAGGAATTCATGGCTAGCCTGGGTAATATAACAAGACTCCATATCAAACCAAACCAAACCAAAATAAGCTGGGTGTAAGGGCATATACTTGTAATTCTAATACTCTGGGAGGCTGAAACAGGAGGGTTGTAAATTTGAGGCCAATCTGGGCAATTTAGTGAGACTCAGTCTCAAAATATAAAAAGGACTATGAATGTAGCTCAGTGCAAAGGCCATGGGTCTAATCCCTAGTACTGATGAAATAAAAATAACATGTATTTGAAACTTCATTATAAATGGAATCATTCTGTTTAAATTCTTTGTGTGTTTTTTTTTTAGTTCAGCAGTATGTTTATAAAATCGTGTCATTGTATATAGGTCTAGTTTGTTTTCATTGTTATAAAGTATTTATTTGTGTAAATGAATCACTGTTTATTCATTCTATTGCATTGGTCACTTGAATTATTTCTAGTTTTTTATTTTTTTGAGCAATTTTTCTAAAAAATATTCATGTACATATATATATATATATGTATGTATTGTCTTGGTTACTTTTCTGTTGTTGCTGAGACTAAATACCTGACACCCAAAATTAAGGAAGGAAAGGTTTATTTAGCTCATAGTTTGTAGAGTTTTCAGTCCTTCCTTGGTTGGCTCCAAGGCAGGGTGGCACATGGCAGAGGGCAACAGTTCATGGCAGCAGAAGACAGCAAAAGCAACAAGAGCAAAAAAGGAGGAGAAGCAGAGAGCAAACCTCTTTCTCTTCCTTATATTGTATGCAGGCAACCTGCCCCAGGGTAGGTGCAGCACTCACGCCCATAATCCCAGCATTGGACCATGAATCAATCAAAAACTCTAGAAGCCTGCCCCATGACTACATGAGTTTTTGGGGGACATCTAGACATAAGCCATAACATTCCTCCCCCGAGTCCCCCAAAGACTCATGTACATCCCTTTATGCAAAAGGCATTTAGTCCATCTGCAAGAGTTGCCAAAGTCCTAACAATTTCAGCATTGCTGAAAAGTCTAAGTCCCAAATATCCTCCAAGATCTCAGGCAAACTCTTACCTGTGACCCCCTGTACAAATGAAAAGATAAACACTTCCAACGTTCAGTGGTACAAGATAAACATTACCATTCTAAAAGGTACAAACAGGAGGATACAAAGCACTGGGACCAAAACAAGTCCAAAATCCAGCAGTAAGACATTAAGTCCTGTAGTTCCACGTGCAACATCCGAGGCAATCTATGGCAAACTGTGAGCTCTACATGGCTCTGCTTCTGCAGCACTTCTGGTGGTTGTCTTTCCCATGGCTTCTCTCTTGGGCCTGCTTTGCTCCCTCCTTGCAACTTTCCTTAGACCATCCACGTTCCTGGCTTTTCCAAACTTGTAGGTCTCTAGTGTACCTTTCACTTCACACTCACAGCTTCACATGCTGCCCTCTCAGGGACACACTGTCTGGCCTCCCAGGCCTTCTGAAATCTAAGTGGAAGTCTTCTTAACCTCAGAACTCTTGCATTCAGCACTATGTAGGTGATGCTAAGTTCTGCTGCAAGCTGGAGTAGTAGCCAGGCTTTCTTCTTTCTTGGCTGTAGGGGTTGAGTGCCTGGATCACTGAGTACTCTGAACCTGATTCTGAGGAACAACTTCTCTATGCCACCATCATTCTGGAATGTGTTGCTCTGCAGCTTTCTTCTCAAAGCAAAGTCTTTCACTTTTGCAGGTTTAAGGCTGCAAAAGGTAGAGACTTGCTGCTCCTAGTGATGCCCTCAGGCCATCTTTTCTATTCTCCTGTCCCTTCTCAGCAGTCAAGATCTCCTCACCTGTACCTTTGCAATCCACAGCTTTACTGGAGCTTCCTTTCTTGCCAAACGCACAACGTTTTAAATCATCCTGCTGGGCTCTTTGCTCTTGATTCTCAACATAAATCTCTCTAAAAGCCCCCAACAATAGCCATGCCATAGCCTCAACATTTGACTGCCTTGA